TTCCTCCCCCCCCCCCTGTTGATTTTTCTTCCCTCCCCGCGACGTCCCGCCCGGCCCCGTCTCCTCTGCCCCCGTTCCGCCCGTCCTCGCGCCGGAATCTTTTCGTACTTCGTTTCCTTCGGCCGCGGCAATATCCGTGCAAATGTTCCGCCGCCGCCGGTTCGAGCGCGCTGACGCTGGATTTACGGAGGCACCGGGAGCAGCTGTTTTGTATTAATGGTAAATTGAAAAATTGATCGGTCCCTGTGCCACCGGCCCACGGGTTTTTAAATAGTTGAAAAGTTTAACCGGTGAATGAACAACGACCGAAACGGAACATAATATCATCGAATCGGGGTACGAGATATCTCGGTTCGAACGTTGCGCCAGACACACGGAGGGAAAATAAGCGATCGTCGTTGATCTGAAATTTTTTCTTTATTATTCTTGTTTCATTTGTCTTTATTATTTTCTACTTTGACGTGTTCGTACAATAACGGTAATTTGATCGATAACGGTTTCATTTTAAACGAAGCTTTTTTTATACGTTCGCGCGGAAGTTCGAAAATTGCAACTCGCATTCTGATGAGTTGCAACTTCTGTTTCCTGCGAACATTGCGAAGAATTGCATGGAAATGCATAGAATTACACAGAATTGCATAGAACTCCGTAACACTATATAAAACTGCATAGAATTGTATAGAATTGCATAATACTGCATTAAACTACATAAAACTGCATAGAATTCCATAGAGTAGTATAGAATTGTATAGAATTGTATAGAATTACATAGAATTGCATAGAATAGTATAGTATTTCATAGAATTGCATAGTATTGCATAGAATTGCATAGAATTGCATAGAATAGTACAGAATTGTATATAATCACATAGAATTACATAGAATTGCATAGAATAGTATAGAATTGTATATAATTGCATAGAATTGCATAGAATTGCACGGAATTGCATGAAATTGCATAGAATTGCATTGAGTGGTATAGAAATGCATAGAAATACACAGAATTGCATAGAATTGCATAGAATTGCAAAGAATTGCATAGAACTGCATAGAATTGCATAGAACTGCATACAATTGCATACAATTGCATAAAATAGTATAGAATTGCATAGAATTGCATACAATTGTATAGAATTGCATAGAATTGCATAGAATTGTATAGAATTACATAGAATTGCATAGAATAGTATAGAATAGTATAGAATTGTATAGAATTGCATAGAATTGCACGGAATTGCATGGAATTGCATAGAATTGCATTGAGTGGCATAGAATTGCATTGAGTGGCATAGAAATGCATAGAAATACACAGAATCGCATAGAATTGCATAGAATTGCAAAGAATTGCATAGAATTGCAAAGAATTGCACAGAATTGCAAAGAATTGCATAGAACTGCATAGAATTGCATAGAACTGCATACAATTGCATACAATTGCATAAAATAGTATAGAATTGCATAGAATTGCATACAATTGTATAGAATTGCATAGAATTGCATAGAATTGTATAGAATTACATAGAATTGCATAGAATAGTATAGAATAGTATAGAATTGTATAGAATTGCATAGAATTGCACGGAATTGCATGGAATTGCATAGAATTGCATTGAGTGGCATAGAATTGCATTGAGTGGCATAGAAATGCATAGAAATACACAGAATCGCATAGAATTGCATAGAATTGCAAAGAATTGCATAGAATTGCAAAGAATTGCACAGAATTGCAAAGAATTGCATAGAACTGCATAGAATTGCATAGAACTGCATACAATTGCATACAATTGCATAAAATAGTATAGAATTGCATACAATTGTATAGAATCGCATAGAATTGCATAGAATTGTATAGAATTGCATAGAATTGTACAGAACCGTATAGAATTGCTTAGAATTGCACAGAACTACATACAATTGCATACAATTGCATAGAATAGTATAGAATTGCATAGAATTGCATACAATTGTATAGAATCGCATAGAAATGCATAGAATTGTATAGAATTGCATAGAATTGCGTAGAATTGCACAGAACCGCATAGAATTGCATAGAATTGCAAAGAACAGCATAGAATTGCAAAGTGCAGCATAAAATTGAATTGAAAGAATCAAACAATTCCCATCAAGAAAGCACTTTTAGTGCAGTCCAATAAAAACTGGAAATCGTCCATTGCATTACTAATAAGATTATTACTCTCGTTACAGCTAATTCGCATAACCTTCGTCATAAATTGCTATCGCGTTCGAAGAACCATTCTCCGGTTCTCTTCGAACCAGAAAATTCGTGCTATTGTTGTTCGAATTATTTTTTCGCAGCCTCGTAGCCTCGCAGTCCCAGAGCAGAGTTTGATCTTTTCGGGCATGAATCTCCGGGTCCGAATGGAACTCTGCGCGTCGCGGTACAACCCGCGGAATAGAATAAAGAATCGCGGCCGTCCCGTCGGCGCACCGAACGGGCGGAATCGTCGTCTCCGCGGTAACCGGGCAGTGTCGGCGTTCGCGAATTCGTTTCATAAATACCTGAAGACAGTGCCTCCTCGCGAGCCAGCCGATGTGCTGTAGCTGCGGCGGGTCCGGAAGTGCGGAGGCCAATCGCAACGCCTTCAGCGTCAGGGCGGCCAGAGCCGAGTGCAACGCGTTGAACCACACGTTCGCCTCTGCGTTGTCCGCTGCTCTCAGCCAGCATTCGTGAACGCCGTCCGGAGAGTGCAGCTCTAGGATACGGCCCTCTGCGAACAGAAAATTCGGAATTGCAAATTACATTCTGCTAAGTTGCAGCCTCTGTTTCCTGCGAGTATTGCGTTGAATTGCACGGAATTGCATAGAATAGTATTGAATTAGATTGAATAGTATAGAAACGCATAGTATTTCATGGAATTGCATAGAATTGTATAGATTTGCATTTAATTGTATAGAACTGCAGAACGCTCTATAAAACTGCATAAAACTGCATAGAATTGCATAGAATTGCACAGAATTGTATAGAATTGCATAGAATCGTATAGAACTGCAAAATACTTCATAAAACTGCATAAAACAGCATAGAATTCATAGAATTGTATAGGGTTGTATAGAATTTTATGCAACTGCATAACACTGCATAAAACTGCATAAAACTACATCGAATTACATCGAATTGCATAGAATTACATTGAATGGTAGACAATTGCATAGAATAGTAAGGAATTGCATAAAATTGCATGGAATTGCGTACAAATGCATAGAATCGTATAGAACTGCATAATACTCCATAATACTGCATAAAACTGCATAGAATTCATAGAATTGTGTAGGATTGCGTAGCATTCTATACAATTGCATAACACTGCATAAAACTACATCCAATTGCATAGAATTACATTGAATAGTATAGAAATGCCCAGAATAGTAAGGAATTGCATAAAATTGCATGGAATTGCATGGAATTGCATAAAACTCTATAACACTCCATAAAACTGCATAAAACTGTATAGAATTGCAAAAAATAGTGTAGAATTGCATAGAATAGTAAGGAATTGCGTAGAATTGCATAGAATAGTAAGAAATTGCATAGAAATGCATGGAATTGTATGAAATTGCATAGGACTCTATAACAGAATTACATAAAATGGCATAAAATTGCATAGAATTCTATAGGATTCCATAGAATTGTATAGAACTGTATAACACTGCATAAAACTGCATAAAACTGCATAAAACTGTATGGAATTGCATAGAATTGCATAGAACAGTATAGAATTGCATAGAACTGCATAGAATTGTATAGAATTGCATAGAATTCTACAGAACTGCATAACACTGCATAAAACTGTATAGAATTGCATAGAATTGCATAGAATTGCATGGAATTGAATAGAATTGCATACAATTGCATAGAATTGAATAGAATTGCATAGAATCGCATAAAATTGCATACAATTGCATAAAATTGCATAGAATTGTATAAAACTCCATAGAACTGCAATTCTTCATCCAATTAAATAATATTTATAGTGCAATGTAATTTCCGTCGACGCTCGTGACCTTCTGTCAAAGCAACGACAATTTGTAGATATTATGTTTAAAAAATATACGTCTCGAATGAACACGTCTCGAAATTACATTATCGAACAGAGTTTTTTCGATCGACTCGATATATTTGCTCGAACTCGATGACATATCCCGTGCTGCCGGCGTGGGCAACGAAAGCGCGAACAAATCAAGAATTCGTGCGCGCAATTAAGGGAATTTTTATTCCATTACAACGCCGTGACGTCGATCCCATCCGCTTTCATTATCGGCGAAGCACAAGCCGAGAGAGGCCAAGAGCGTAGGTCGATCGCCGACCGGTGGGGAGGAAAAGAAAAAAAGGAATATCGGATTCTCGATCAAAAGGAAATTACGTTCAAGTTAAAAGCCCCTTTTTCCGGCTCCTATCATCGGCCCGGTGTTAATGAATTTATGCTGGAAAACCGGGAGAGCGTCCTCTCTCTCCGAGCCACGGTCCCCCGTTACTTATGGTTTTCGCACTCGCGGCGGGTATAAAGTCGTTACGCGGGGGCATTCGGCGACCGAGCAACGTCGTAAAAAAATTTACAATCCATCGTAAAAAAAAAAGGAAAAAGAAAAAGAAAAAAGAACCGGCGTCCCGAATTCGCACCCAGACTCTCCCGGTTACCATTGAATCGTAATCGATTCCTGTTATCGAATTATCGAGTTTAGAAGAGAGAGAATTTCAATCCGTGAATTTTTCTATCGATCCACGCTCCGTCGATTCCCCAATTGTTTCCGATTTTTCTCTTTTCGAATTGCATTTCGCCCGTGGGTTATTTAGAAATTGCGCTCGCTCGTTCGTTCGTTCGTTCGTTCTCGGTTTAGACGATCCGCGATTCAATCTGCGATTTATTATTGGACCGTTTAGAACGTTTATGGCGAAAACGAGCGAATGAAATGCAAAATAGTAAATTATGCTTAGTGTATAAAATAGTGAAAATCGGTGTGAATAAATTTAAACAGTGCTGTTAGGTGATTCTCAGTTTATTGCAAATATCAAAGGTGATGATAAAAATAAATTCGGATTGAATTCTTGTTCTTTTTTATTGCAGTCACGATGCAGAATTTTTATTTTGCACAAAGGTGATATAAATCAAATCGAAAGCAGTAAAAATCGCTGTAAATAAATTTAAACAGTGCTATCAAGTGATTCTCAATTTATTGCAAATATCAAAGGTGATGATAAAAATAAATTCGGATTGAATTCTTGTTCTTTTTTATTGCAGTCACGATGCAGAATTTTTATTTTGCACAAAGGTGATATAAATCAAATCGAAAGCAGTAAAAATCGCTGTAAATAAATTTAAACAGTGCTATCAAGTGATTCTCAATTTATTGCAAATATCAAAGGTGATGATAAAAATAAATTCGGATTGAATTCTTGTTCTTTTTTATTGCAGTCACGATGCAGAATTTTTATTTTGCACAAAGGTGATATAAATCAAATCGAAAGCAGTAAAAATCGCTGTAAATAAATTTAAACAGTGCTATCAAGTGATTCTCAATTTATTGCAAATATCAAAGGTGATGATAAAAATAAATTCGGATTGAATTCTTGTTCTTTTTTTTTGCAGTCACGATGCAGAATTTTTATTTTGCACAAAGGCGATATAAATCATAACGAAAGCACTAAAAATCGCTGTAAATAAATTGAAACAATGCTGTCAGGTGATTCTAAATTAAATTGCAAACGTTAAGGGTAATGATAAAAATAAATTCGAATTCAATTCTCGCTCTTTAGCCATTTTTTACTCATTTTTCCTACCTCTCGTAATAACGAAAATAATTTTAACGCGCAATTCAAGCGAATCGTACGCGCCCCAGTGCATCCATTGTCCCCAACGAGACGACTGCAGCCAAGAAAAGCAACCGATCGTCGCACCCGCGAAGAAAACAGCTCCGGCAACGCCGCCGATGCGGCGTTGTTGCTTGGCGTTGGAAGGCAACTGGAGATCGCAGCGTGGCCGTGTCGATTTCTCAAGCTTATCGTCTGTGTGTTCCGCAGCGGCGGCGTCGGGTTACGCGCGGTTTTCGCACAGGGGATTCGGTGTCCGTTGGTCAGACGGAGGCGGGCGGAGCGAGTATAGGTTACCGAGCAGGAAACGGGAGCCGCGACTCGCGGAGAGTAGTTCTCGCGGCGAGGCGACGCGACGCGAGTAGAAGCGTAGAAGGCGTTGCAAGACGAGCGTGGCCGCGTTTAATTACGCCTCTGGTCGCCGGGCATGGCTGTCGTTGACATTAAAGAGCGCCGGCCGTCGCGGGAGGGGTCCGAGGGGAGGGCGAAACGGCGCAAGATAACCGGACGGCCGCGGCGAAGGGCGGCGGGGCGGGGAGGGGAAAGGGTCTGGCGGCGGCAAAGGCCGCGAGAAAGACGGGAAGTTTGAGAAGAAATAGACAAGAAGGCTGATGAGAGGAAAGTTTCGGAGAGGGTTCCGGCGAATATCTCGGCGAACGGGGGCACAGCGGGGAGGGGGCGGGGGAGACGGGGCTTCGGTCTGTAAAAAGGAGGAAACCAGAAGCAAAGGGCTAAGAGAATTAACTTCCGCCGTCGGGAGGACTGCTACTCTACGCGCTGGTCCCTCGGAGAAAAGTTTTAAGGGACTTGTAGTTAAACGAGGGATCGGGAAGGGGAAATTCGCGGAGAGAGAATCTGTCAAGGGGATGAAACGACGTGGATCAGGAGGTTCGCGAAGGGTTTCCGTGGGACGGGAATCAAAGGGTGGGGGGAAATGCGTCTCGGCGAAACGTCGGAGGCCGCGCCGAGAGGAGCCGGAAGTGCCACCTCGCCGCGCGTCGTCGCTCGTCAGGCGTCGAAAAGCGGAATCTCGGCTGAGAAACGACCGCCTTTAAATTCTGACACGGTGCGTTAGGGCGGGAGAGACGCGGCGGGCCGAAAGGGATTTTCGAAAGTGCGCTCCCGGTGAAAACGCCTTTACCGCCGCGGCGACGGGAACGGAATTCCAAGGAGGCGGGAAGAACTGGGCCACCGGAGGAGCCAGCAGCCGCCGCGGAAAGAAAAGAAAACCGTAACGTTTCTTTCCCGGGGAATTATTCGACCCGTAAATCACCGGCTTCTACCGCGCCGCGGGAAACTTTTCCGCGAGAGGCGCCGCTCGGAGACGTTCGGAACGGCTGCGCCGATTTCTGAAACGGCGCCGGCGAAACTATTTTACTTCTCTCCTTGTTACGCGACCGCGGTCGCGCTGTTGCGTTTCACGGAATTATTCGTCCTGCTGAGTTCTATGCGTGCCACGAGTGCACGATTATTGTATCGAGAATATTCGCGGCCGATACAGGCGGACGATTGAACGCGATTTTTTCACGGTGCCCGATCAAAGGACGACTGTTCTACTATGGCTGACTAGGTAGGGATTGTTTCACTTATTTTAGCGGTCTCTGCTCAAGACGAGTAGAGTATAATAGATTAGATTATTTGGTATAGATTAGATTAGTTTAATATTATGTTAATTATTCTAGTATGTCTGACTAGGTAGGGATTGTTCCACTTATTTTAGCGATCTCTGCTCAAGGCGAGCAGAGTTAGTTTAATATTGTGTGTGTTAGTTATTCTCAATGCTCAAGACGAGTAGAGATTGGTATAATATTATGTTAGTTATTCTATATATATATTATGTTTGACTAGGTAGGGATTGTTCCACTTATTTTAGCGATCTCTGCTCAAGGCGAGTAGAGTATA